ATTGTTTGACGCATGCACCAATTCTTGCCCTACCTAAAGGTAGTGAGAATTTTGTAGTCTATAGTGATGCCTCACGATTGGGACGTGGTTGTGTGTTGATGCAGAAAGGAAAGGTTATCACCTATGCATCACGTCAATTGAAGGAATATGAAAAGAATTACTCCACTCATGATCTTGAGTTGGTGGCTGTGGTCTTCGCTATGAAGCTGTGGCGACATTATCTTTATGGCACCAAATGTCAACTCTATACTGATCATAAGAGTTTGAAGTATTTGTTCGATCAACATGCACTTAATATGCGACAGCAACGTGCCATGGAGCTCATTAAAGACTACGATTGTGAAATACTATATCATCCAGGTAAAGCCAATGTAGTGGCGGACGCAATAAGTCGAAAAGCACATGGTGGATCTTTGTGCTATGTTATCACCCACAGGGCAGGAAGATCGACTTTATTTGATGATTTGCAAAAGTGGCAACTTGAGGCTTTGAAGCCTGAGCATATTAAGTCAGAACGAATGGTAAGCTATGTTAATTCGTTATCTGAGGACAATCGCGGTCTTAAGGTCTTTAAGAACCGAATCTGGGTCCCTAGGCTTGGTGGATTGCGAGAAAAAGTTCTGACGGAGGCACATAGATCAAGATTATCCATCCACCCAGGAAGTACTAAGATGTACCAAGACTTACACTTAGATTATTGGTGGCTGGGAATGAAAACGGACATCGGGAGTTACGTTGAAAATTGTATCACATGCCTGAAAGTAAAAGCAGAACACCAGAAGCCATATGGAAGTCTTCAACCTCTTGAGATCCCCGTGTGAAAATGGGAAGAGTTAACTATGGCTTTGGTCACCAAACTGCCAAAGACTTCTCGGCAGCATGATAGTATATGGGTTATCGTTGATAGGCTGACTAAATCAGCGCTATTCCTTCCAGTCCAGGAATCGTACTCCATGGAACGTTGGGCTCAGTTATATGTAGACGAAGTTGTAGCTCGACATGGAGTGCCTGTGAAAGTTGTCTCTGATCGTGACTCTAGATTTACTTCTAACTTCTGGGCCGGTTTTCAACGTGAGTTGGGTACACAACATGCGTTCAGCACGGCTTATCATCCTCAAACCGATGGTCAATCTGAACGTACCATTCAGACACTCGAGGATATGTTACGAGCATGCATTCTGGAATTCGGTGGTAACTGAGATACTCATTTGCCCTTAATTGAGTTCTCTTATAATAACAGTTATCATTCGACAATCGGGATGGCCCCTTTCGAGGCTTTGTATGGACGTAAGTGTCGTACGCCTCTTTGTTGGAGGGAAATTGGAGAGAAAGTGTTGACAGGGCCCGGACTTGTGCAAATCACAAGTGATAGGATTCAAGTGATTAGAGAAAGAATGAAAGCGGCCCAGGATCGACAAAAGTCCTACGCGGATCATCGTAGAAGGCCGATCGAGTTCTCGGTCGGTGATCTAGTAATGCTGAAGGTTTCCCCGTGGCGTGGTGTGCTACGATTTAGAAAGCAAGGGAAACTCAGTCCACGTTTTATCGGTCCATTCAAGATTATTGAACGAGTTGGGAAACAAGCCTACCGTTTAGAACTACCCGAAGAATTAGCGGGTATACATGATGTTTTCCATGTCGGCTATCTACGAAAATGTTTGGGCAAACATGAAGAAGTAGTACCCTTGTCGGAAGTTAAGATAAATGAAAAACTTCGATATGCCGAAGAGCCCGAAAATATCTTGAAAGAGCGGACAGTGAAATTGTGCAATAAGGAGGTAGATTTGGTATTAGTGAGGTGGAAACATCATCATGGGTCAAATTGGACGTGGGAACGCAAGGATGAGATGAAGGCGAAATACCCATCATTATTTTCACAACAGTGATTTCGGGGACGAAATCCTCAAAAGGAGGAGGTATTTGTAACATCTAAGTTTCAATATACCCAATTAATTGCTTAGAATAATTTATTTGGGTTATAGTGGGTTTATGATTTAGCGGGAGTTTGTTGGTCTATTTGGACACTTAGATGGGCCAAGCCGGCCCAACTCAAGTTTAGCATTATAAAATGAGTTTTGACCCATTTTCCACATCATCTAAGTCTAGAACTCTCACCCACACTTAAGGTACGATTTACACACATTTAAGGTTAATCCTTCAAACCATGAAGATCCATGTTAAATTCTTGAAGATTAAGTGTTAATCATCAAAGGTATGCTYCTAATTTCAAGTTTATTTCAAGTAGAAGTGTATAAATTAGAGGCTAGATTCTGTTTTTGAAAGATTATAAAGGATAATGTTGATCATTGTGTGAATCGGAAGTTATTTTGGGTAGGTAAGTAACATGCAGTGAGTTTTATGGCTAAATCTGGGTTTAAGTATGGTAAAAACAGAGGTTTAACAGAGGATTTTACTAGAAGTGTAAATAGGATAATCAAGATTTAAAGTGTATAATTTAAGGTTGAGATATGGTTGGTATTGATTATGAAATGTTTACTCCAGGGGGCTGTTTTTAAGGCTAATTAGAACCTTTGAAGGTTTACCACTATTGTTGGTTGGATTGAAGGTTACCGCGTTTGGTCGTTTAAAAGAAAGCACTGTGAGTTTATATCAAACTTATACTTATGTATAATATAAATATATGAACTTTTGTTGAAAAGTTGTTGAATTTCTTGCATGTGTTATTTTGTAAGATAAATTTCTCCCAAACTGTGTTTTGGTACCGCTTAATCCTGTTAAATTTATGTTTAAGTCCCGGATCCGAGACTGTTTCATTGGTTTTTTTTAGTTGAACCATGATCTATGGGTATTACTTTGTGTGATGCGCCGTAGCATGGTGTATGTCCACGCCCTTTTGGGCTGAAATTGATCTTATTTATCTTAAAAAGTCTTTATAAGCGCTGTATGTTAAGATTGGAAATTCAATGTTTTTATGCTGTGATTATATGGCCAAGTTTGAAATTTTGAATCCTTTGAGACCATTGACCCTCTGGGTGTACGGGATCCATCGATCCTCTGTTTGTATTGATTCATTGATCCTCTGGTTGTATTGATCCATCGATCCTCTGGTTGTATTGAGACCATTGACCCTCTGGGTGTACTGAGACCATCGATCATCTGGTTGTATTGAGACCATTGATCCTCTGGTTGTATTGATCCATCTATCCTCTGGTTGTATTGAGACCATCGATCCTCTGGTCGTATTGATCCATCGATCCTCTGGTTGTATTGATCCATCGATCCTCTGGTTGTATTGAGACCATTGACCCTCTGGTTGTATTGATCCATCGATCCTCTGGTTGTATTGATCCATCGATCCTCTGGTTGTATTGATTCATCGATCCTCTGGTTGTATTGATCCACCAATCCTCTGTTTGTATTGATTCTTTGACCCTCTGTTTATCCATCGACCCTCTGGTTGTATAGACCAGCAACCCTTTGGTTGCATAGTGTTTGGACAATTTTATCAGATTATTTTTTTTCCGATCAAATTCTTAATTAAACGGCTCTTTTGTTCTGCTTCGTTTATGATTTGCTTTGTACTTATAATATATGTAAATATAAGCTTTGGTATAATCTCACTAAGCCTTGTGGCTTAATCTTTTAGAATGAACTTTCTTTTCAGGAAAGCCGATAGCTGCCCAGGTGAAGGATTAGACGATTTAGATCTGCTGTACGAGTATCGTTTGAGTCGGATCTAGGTATATAATACTTTTGAGTAGCTATATTTGTATTTAATGGATCCGACTTATAGTACTGAAAATCGTCTTTTGCAGACTATGTTATTTTGTCTTTTGGTGGATATTTATAACATATATCCCGTATTTGCTTGGAGATTGTTTTATGGACAAATTAATTGGATAAATAGTTTCTTTTATTCAAAGAGCGTAACTGATGTTACACGCCCCCTGGGCCTATGGCTAGGCCGGCCCTGTGGATAGATATCGCATTTGGACCAGGATGATGGAGTAGACAGAATAAAGACAGGAGGTCGGATTTTTAGGATCAAATTATTTTCAGTAGGATCGAATAAGACCGATCTCTTTAGGACCAACCAAAAATGGACCAACTGGATCGACTGATTCGCCTTTTCTTGTATTGCGTTGACGACTTTTATCAAAATGAAAACAAAGTAAGATTTAAATTTGAAACTTACAAGAAAAGTAAAAAGCTTTGAATTCTTTTGAAAGGAGAGAATTGTGAAGTTAACCTATCTATGTCAATCCAATATAGTTTCAGCTAGAAAATGGTTTTTTTTTAAAATATATAATATACATAATATTTATATACAGCAAAAACTCATGCAGATTCCATAGCACCACTTTTTTTTGTGAGGTTTGAATCCTAAGAGGTTGCGTACCTGTAAATCGGGTAAAGTTGGGCCAATAATCCTTTAATTAGCTAGAAAATGTTGTAATAAAGAAACTCTAAAATTTATGTCAATTCTGTTTAAAACTTGCTACAGTACAGTTTATCAAGAATAAAGCGTAAACCATAAGAACCAAGTGGCCAAGCTTTCAATTCTCCCCATGAGAATGGAAGTGAATGAGGGTGCTTTTTGGAAACATAAATGAGAAAAGTAGTAACCACATCTGTTACAATCTTCATATATAGATAAACTGTTTGCACTCAGGACATGTTCGGTTTATAGGATTGCATTGGATTGGATTTCATTCAGGTTCCATGTTCAGTTTGAAGGATTTCCTATATTTGAAGTCCCAGAATTTCATTAACATAGGATTTTAAAAAATTCCTCAAACATAGGATTTTAAAAAATCCCACGGGGTGGTAGAGGTCCATCTACGTACATCTTACCCTCCCTTTGAGGTGAGATATATTGAGCTCGTTTGGTTTGATTTAGTTTGTTCATACAAATTTCTTTTTCCTTTTCTGAATAAACAACCTTGATTTCCTTTTTTTGTTCCTCTATCTAAGTACATACATTTATACTAGTTTCTATATAAAACTTGTTAATTTATAGCCGATATACATGGGCTAATAATCTTGGATTCTACAACGTAGGCCAACCCCGTAACCCGATGGATTTTGAAGAGGGAGACTGGAATTATATCTTCCGGACAAATCTAACGGGATCCTGGTTGGTGGCAAAGCATGTTTGTATAAACATGCGTAAAGCTAAACAAGGAGGTTCCGTGATCAACATTTCATCCATTGCTGGTACTAATCGCGTTTTTCTGCCCGGAGGCGTTGCTTATGCTTTTTCAAAGGTTGCGGTTAATACTATGACAAAGGTACCGACTTTAAATGAGTTTTCAATTAGCAGCATGTTCTTTTAAATTTCTTTTATTAACTAGTAACTTTCAAATGACTTGGTCTTGTGTGTTAAGCAAAGATCATTTTGTAAAATGACTTCCATAGAAAGTTCAACTAACTAAATTGCACCATTTGTAGGGGTTAATTAGCTAAATGACATCCTGACAAGTACTAATAACGTTCTGATAGGGTTTTAGACGTTTTTGTGTATAGAAGTAGGATTTTTCTGTTAAATACAGACATTCTCGAACATGTCCTTTGATTTGAATGTAATACCTTTTAACCAAACAACTCCCTTTTGCTTCCTATTTACTCCATTCCTAACCTCTATCTTGACATGATTGGCTTATTGTTTTTGGTTTACAAACCCAATACATTTCACACATAATAGAATAGGGTTCGAAGAGGGTAAGATGTCCTTTCATGGTATGCTAATTTATTTGAAACATATAATGATAACAAGTAATGGCAATGGAGTTGGGAATCAACAACATAAGAGTGAACTGCATAAATCCTGGAATTTTTGGAACTGAGATCACTCAAGGACTAGTAGACAAGGATTGGTTCAATAACGTAACTCTGAGGACGGTTCCTTTGAAAACGTTGGGCACGATAAATCCAGCCTTGACATCCCTCGCACTCTATTTGATCCACGACTCTTCAGTATAAGTGACAGGAAGTGGTTTCATTGCCGACGCCGGTACCAGCTTTGCAACAATTCCTATTTTCTCGTCACTTTGAATATGTATTTTGTCACATAATCGCTATGACTTGTATCGAATATCATTTATCTGACCAAGGGAGGACCTCCTAAGACGTCCTGTGGTGCACGGACTACCACTCAATCGATTTGTCATAATAGAAAAACAATTAAGGGCCTTAAAGGTGCATCTGCTATCAAAGTGGTTGTAACATGTGGGTACTGATAGTGTCATTATATATATATTATAGGTTGCAGTTTTAAATCCCTTTACCTATTTTTTCTTTTAATTTTTTTGGTAACAACAATTTGCAGTTTTAAATCCCTTTATCTATTTTTTCTTTTAATTTTTTGGTAACAACAATATCATAGAGAGGGAAAAAAAAAGAAAATATCTACTTGGGTGTTACCAAAAACAGTTGTATGTCATTTTTAATGAAACCATATTTTTCTATAATTAATATTTTTTTATTTTATATTATGGTAATTGTTTTGCAGACTGTTTGAAAAAAAAAAGTTATAGGTCTGCCTCTGGATGTGGATATTATGCACATGGATAGGCAATCTTGCATGACATTCTTACATGGTAAGAGAGATGGGTTGGACCGATCTTGAAAAATCTAAAGAAAGTGCCTGTTTGATTCATCTATTTAACTAGCGTATAAAAATAATGAAACTGGATAACCCACAAAATTCGAGTTACATGGTTTCCCGATTAAATGTGTTTGATTAATCGAATAAGATAGTGTTATTTGGTTTGGTTTGGTCTAAGTTATTCTTTTGTATATTTGATTAAACTAAATTAACCGAATAAATCAATATATTAATTATTTTTTATATATTTTATATTTATAAACACTCTTGAAATTTAAATAATATTCATTTTGTAATCCATTGGGAAACTTTTTGGCT